GAATATCACATTTCTTTTGTTTTAAAATCATGACCTGAAAATGGAAACCTCTAAAAATATTTATTTTTTCTTGAAAAATCATGAAAAAGCACTATTTAGAAGAGAGATGTGATCCTTTTTTGCCTCAAGGATAAACTTATTTTTTCAATATTTTTACACGATTTTGTAGAGAATTAAAAGTTGTATAACATATGAAAAATTCAGCTTGGGCCCATGGGTTTTGAAAAAATGGCAGCAGATATACTACCCAAAATTTATCACCATGAACTCATAAATCGTGACGTTTTCCAATCATATTGGGCTTCAGAATCCCAATAAACAGATAGCTTGCCACAATTTAAATGGCTCACTTTTTTCAGCTTTTAATGCTCTATCTTTTGGTATATTCGACCAAAAAATTCCCTGACTTATTGAAACACAATCCTAGTAGAAATTTATGTGGCGATTCTTGACTATTTTTTCCACACTAGGTCGATAGTGCCTAAGGTTGGTCCTGGCTAACTTTGCTGTAATATATCCAAATGAACTAAAAATTTGAGTTTGGTAGTTCCACACCATGACCTTTCAAACGCAGATAAAAAATCAAGAATGTAAATTTTTTGTAGTGCCTTGTATACAGGATCGATCTTGGGTCCTCTCATGGACACTCTCTTAAGTCTTAAATAGTGACTGTAGTAATTCAGAGGCAGATACACGTATGACTCGTCCAAAGGCACATGAATGCCTTTCAAGATGAGAGAAATTAACAATGACCCTTGTCGATCTACTGGCCGGTTCGATCCGGCCTGATCAGTTGCTACCGGTATCGGTACCGATCTCGGAAAACCTAACCAATTGTAAGTTTGTCACAGCTGCTTGTACTGCTTAGCAGTTCCCCCGCCCAATTGAAGCCGCCACCAAAACCTAATACACCACCACCAAAATCAGTACTAGGAAAAAATTTTGTTTCACTAAAAGATGATGCCCGTCAACAAACTTGGAGCCACTCCGAAGCTTGGAAGCATTCTTCTGGATACAAATTCTTGAGCTCCAAAAAGAAAAACTTTTCCTGCAAATCTGGCAAACTCTGAGGACGCGAGCCATAGCAGCTAGGCAGAAATGACAGGGATGGAAAAGGAGTTGAAACATTAGTACTTCCTACTTCAGAACAGAAGACTTTTTGTGAAATGATTAACGAAGGTTCTACTGATTGAAGTGGTTACACAGCTGCACTGGATATACCTTATGCATTTCATACATTATAACCAAATTGAGCTCCAGCTGTTGATTTTCCTAATCTTTGATGTCTTTTATGATCAGTTTGTTCATAACCTTGCGGTGTCGGTTGTTGACTATTAACAGTACTGTTTGACTGACAGTAACTTTCACTAGTATTGTAACCTTTTCTTGATTGCCAACAACCTGCTTCATAAGCACCATCGCTAGCTGTTGGTACATTTGCAACGCTCAAACTTCCATATTGATTAAGTGTTTCTTGTTCTTGATATTGATAATTTTGACTACGAGATAGTACACGAATTACTTTACATATAACTTGTGGTTGTCTAGATGGTTCAACAATATTATGTTCTAGAATCCGAGGTAGTAGTATCATTGGCTCTTCAATAATTTCTTCTGCAATTTCATTTGGTTTACGACGAATATAAAGACGTTCGAGAATGTCTGGTTCTTACGTAGGCACTCGATGTCGTGTATGCTCTACAGTACCTGACTGATCTGGTAAACAAATTCGTCCTTGACGACATCGATGATGTATATCAACCGATTTATTATCATAGCCAGTTTCACTATTACAGTAAAATTCACCGTATCCAGTAAAAGCAGTCTCATTCACATCACTACCATTAATACGTACACTATGTTGTTGTTGCTGTTTGTAATAAACACTATCATCAACACCAGCTATCACTTCAGCAGATCATGGAGGATAAGAAGCAATTGAATAATGTTTGTAATTGTATGAACTTGATGAACTTGTACTTGATGTTATTCCGGAATTTCATCCATGTGTTTTGTGACCGTCAGCACTACTGGCATTTTATGTGGCACTACCTATGGCCTCGCTGCTAGTCTCTTGGTGTTTGAGCGACCACGTATGCGTTTCCCTTTGTGTTGTATATTGATCATACTACAGACCTATTCCTGTGCGGATTTTACTCAAACTATTTGTACTTTATATGAAACTGTTTATGGCACTATCAAGAGAGCATTACAATAGACTACACACTTGATTACATTGAATATATGCGTATGATATAATTTCAGACAATAGCTTGGTTCTCTCGATGATTACCAATAATAATATTGTGCAATCGGTTCTTATGATTTAAGCTTTTCTCTTCATTTCTTTTGATCCCTCACTTTTTGTATGCGTGAATCAACAAAGACGAAAATGACTCGAACAATAAGATATATTCTCTGTATTAGTACTATTAGTGATAATGGTGGTGATGGTGGTGTTATTAAAAAAGACTGAGTAATGGGCAAAACAAAAAGAATGCAAAAAGCTCATAATCTTACCTAAGACTTCAAGAATTGAGTATTGTATATTGTCAAGAATGATCAACAGAATATGAACCAGACTGCTCAGAAGTCGTTATATATACATATAGCAGTCAACATTTGACCGTGATCAATTTTTTTCCTACCTTGATATGATCAGCCTCAACGAGATAAATGAAAAAAAATTGAATTCAGCAAATGAAGGACACTATTATTTATGCCTCTTTTTCAATGACATTACAGTTGAAGAACTCGATGGAACAGATACAAATAGTTTTTTTTGTTCTACCTCTGTTCATTGACATACGATGGTGACTAATAGTAAGAAGAAATTTCTTTCTTAATTAAACTATACGCATATAATTACATAACTGTACATATCACACGATCGAATCTATCGTGGTCGATGATATAGACAGCAATTGTTCTGATCAAACAAGCATATACACGTATATTAGAGTTCATACGGATATTTATATATAATATAACTTTTTTTAAATATTGAAGGTGTTTGACATGTTCTCACCTTCGTTGTCATGGACGAATTTTGTCCCGGCAAAATGAAAAAGAAAATTATACATATTTTACTGAGATAAAAACATGCACATTAGAATATGAAAAAAAAAGATACTTGAGCCACAAAAAATATGAAATAAACTACAAAAAGGAAAGATATAGTTAATTGTTGAGTTACATAAAGAAGAAATGAAGCATATACTAGAAAAAAAAAATAAGAATAGTTAATAAACTGAAGAGATGGAAATAGAAATAAATTTTATGGTTAAAATAATATATTCAGAAACATAAGGCATAGTCAAACAAGTTGTATTTATAACAAGCTTAGGATTTTCTTACTTGTTCTTCCTCCATTTACTATTGCTCTTTTTTCTTTTAGTATAATAGGATTATGATAATACTGGTACATACATGATGTGTATGTTTTGTGTTGAAGAAAGTCAGACAATACGAATGGATTTGTTGTCATAATGGTGTGAATAATCTAACATCAATATGCTTGTGTGATATTATCAATAGATTTATATTTCAGTAGATGTAAAACTTTTTCACTGGCTGCATCATACCAATAATAATTAACGGTAAGCATCTGCCTATTTACGGTTTCAAGATGGCTTTATTTAGAATTTGATAGGATTAAATATAATATATTAAGTAGTAATTGATAATATGGTCTCATATAAACATTATATCATCGATAAAGTACAGTTTCATTCAACATTCCACTCGAAGGAAGATATTAAAAATTTTGAGGAATTTTTACAAATTTAAGATTCAATGTAATTGAGATGAGAAGTGAATGACAGTTAACCATCAAGAATGGTTTCAAGATATTTAGTTTTATCACAATGAGAGATTAAATATCGAGTACAATTGATATGAGGAGAGATGATAGAGTCAACTTGACGGTTAAATAATACCCAAAACGTCTTTTGGAAGTTGATCGGTGGTTTCCACATTGAAGAATAAGAAATTAATGACACAATGGCGTTCTTAATTTCTTCGATTAGCTCGGATATAAGAGTCTTAGAGGACCAGTTAGCAGATGCAGATATCACAACAGAGAGATCGTCAGGAAAAGGGTACTATTTCAAATATCATAATGGTATACAATAATGATAACTGGTCCTACACAGTATCCTTGTGGTACTTCCTTGAATAGAGAGAAGGCGCTAGATGTTGAATCCATCCGTAGCAATGTAAGCTGATCCTCCATATAGGTAGTTCTACAGCCAAGCTTTCAGATAGTTTGGATAATCTATTCCATATAAGTTTAACATCAATCCATTAAACCAAAGCTGGTTGAAAGTTGCTTTAAAGTCAATACAAGAGACCTGCCGCAGCTGTATTGACCAATAGACTCTGAACAATTTAATCGACTATAGAAACTAATCTTACTGCCACGTTGCATCCTGATCTGTATTCAGTTTGTGCATCTGGTAGAATATCATTGTCATTTCCTCATCAGTTGAAATCAGAGATGTCCATGGTGGTGCTACCGCTGCCGCTACTACTGCCGCGCCGCTTCCGCCATGGCGCTAGCGGTGCGGCAGCGGCAAGTATTGTTCCTTTATCGTCGCGGCACGGCGAGGCAGCGGCAAGTTTTCTTTTTTACCGTCGCGGTGCGTCGCGGCAGCGGTTGAAATTTCCATTTTTTCCAAGAAAATCTAATACTTGAGTAGATTATTTTACTATGATTCAAAGTAAACCGATTTTTTTCTCAACCAGTATGTTTTCATTACACTTTAATCGTCTAATAGAAATATAAAGGTTAGCATCATGTAATTACATGATAACATTATGTAGGAACATGTTACTAGATTGTCAAGAATTCATATTCTACCCCATTTATAATTTATATACATAAGAGACTATATACACGAAAACGTTCGAAGCATTATTAGGTGTAAACGGTTTTAAATGTCAGATATATCTCGAAAAAAAGGAAATGAGCTATTTCTAATTCTCGTGCAAAGGAAAATCCAACCCAATTTTCTATTCGATCCTTAAATTTCAACACATTTCGTGACATTTTTTTTTTTATTGTAAAATAACCGATAGAGACATGAATACGTATTGATAGCACAGATTAACGATGTATCGAATAAAAGCAAATACAAACAGAATAGACATAGTAATTATATTACAGTCATTTTAGTAAAGTGAAGAAGAGTGAATTGTTTTTCTGTTCATAAGTCAACTTATTATGATTGGCACCAATGGCGTAGCCAGGGGGTGGCCGTTGGGCAATTGCCCAATAATTGAAAACTTATTGCCCAATAGTTTTCTGAGAAGATAGTTATTGCCCAATACCAAAACATCTGGTATACATGCATGTTCACAATCGAAATAACTTTATTTTATCAAATTGTCTCCTATAATAATCTAATCTAAGTAGTTATTTCGAGCGATCATTTGACGATCTTTTTTGATTAAACAAAAAATTACAGTGATTACAATTCAGCGGTATTTTTTCATCGAAAACTCTCGTCATTCTTTTTCAATTCGTTATTTTAAAATGTGAGTGAATAATGAACGATTTTTCTGAATTTATGAAACTATATTGAATGTATACGATAGCAATGCAATAGTTCAACTAAAATACTTTGGTAGGGTAACTGGTGACATAACTCCTGTAACTTAAAAATTAAACTGTCATGAACTCAACAGATTTTGTTATTAAAAAGAAACTGATTCAGTGTGTGAACAAATGCAGAATTTTACTCGTAGTGTTTTTTTCTTTATGGATAACGCTGAGAAAATTCAAGTGAATTGGACCGCAATGGGCACTAACATGCATCATTTTTCATATCTTTGACAATATAACAGAGATGTCTACTTCTCTACCAGCCATATTCGTGTTCCAATCGATACAATGATAGGGTTACAGTTATCTTATAGTAGTTTTTACTATGCGTTTCCATCATTTTCGTTTTAATCAACGTCTATACGTGAACTTAAAAATCCATAACACTAGAAATTCTATTGACTATCCATATTCGTTAGCTACTAGTCAGACACAAATATCAGTCGTTAGCAGGATCTGCAATCTACTTTCGCATCGCATTTCTTTTATTGTATTTGAAGTTTATAAGAGATACGTTCTAAAAATAACAAGAGAAGTACAAATAAATCTGTAATAAACTACAACTTCCAACAATTACACAGGTTTCTTATACTAGAACCGACTCATGTAAAAAGGTTACAAAAATATACCAAGAATCTCGTGATGAGTTCTGACTGATTTAAGCGGCCTGTTCCTTTCTCTTGTACATAAACAGCCTTTACATCAATAAAAAGTACTCAAAATATGAAAAAATATATTTATGCCCATTTTGTGAAAAAAATATACAAATCCGAATAACTCTATACCGCCTGATAAAAGATTCCTAGCGGAACGGAATTACTATACTTACTGTCATTAGTTACAATTCTATCTTTTTAGACTTTTTCGAAGTTAAATATCCGATTATGCGAAAATCGCAAGCTCCATTTACAGATAAGAACAGCAAAAGTGATGGAGTTTCTCTTAGTTGAGAGTAATAAAATCTCTTTTCGTCAAACATCAACTATTCTAGGACAAGAAAGCTTTTGAAAAAAGTAATAGCCCAATTGATTTTGAATTGCCCATTATTGCCCAATGCTCAAAATAATTTAGCTGGTAAACGGCCCATAGTTCAAAAATTCCTAGCTACGCCACTGATTGGTACAATCCACAAAACAAAGCACCATCTTATTCTATTTACAAATTAATTTTTCGTGACCAAGAATTTGATTTATTTTCTGGATATAATGAATTTGATTTTTGTCTTTGCTTTAGTATAATATTACATATGCTATTAAATTACCTTGAATGACTAGTGTTGATCTTTCACCACCATCAACGAATGATAAAGTTATTATCGATATATCTTCACTAACAACAGAAATCGATAGAGAACAGTTAAAATTAAAGTTTCGATTGGTACTTATCAAGATTCTTCTTTTACGAAACTATAAACCTCGTTTTCAAACACATACAAAAAATTTACTTAGAATGCACATAAAATTGATACATTCCGATATTTTATTTCAAATATTGTAATCTATATCGTTTCACTCCCTTACCACTATATAGTCACAACAGGCGAACTTTTCTTCATCTGCTCCAGCAGAATAGATCTCAAGATTTATCTGTAGCACCTAAGTTTCTTGCCCAAGACTCTCAAGTACTTGATGTGTATATTAAATTATGCTTCCGTACGGACAGTTGCTTTCTCAAAGTTCCCATAATCTTTCGCTTTTACCAGGCTAAAATATCACTTATTCAGACGAAATAAGAGTATTCTATATGATCCATATAGTAATTTCTAACAGTTGGTGCAACATTTTTGCATTAATTTTCTTTTCAGTATAGTATGGCAAAGAATCTTCATAGAGACTTAATCTTTTTCTTGTTAGAAAGAGCAAGTTGTCTACTACAAAAATATGGAAGAATATTTCATTCAAAATGTTTACTAGAAACAAAAAAGCCTTGAGAATGAGTTGTATCGAAAAAGTGCGTTTCAATTTAACTCAAAATTAGAGATGAGAAATGCATTTGTTTAATTTGTTTTGCACTCGGCTTTCGATGTTTGGAAGCACGGTATATGTGAGTGTGACCAATGCAACGTGGGCATTCTAATCATACAAAAACATTCGAGTTAAAAAAAGATCAACTTTTTTTGCAGATGGAATTTCTTCTTTTGAATTCCAGAAGTTGAAAGGCACTTTTCCAGTCCAACGTGTTCTTAAGGCTTTTTAGTTTTTGGTAAACATTTTGAATCAAATATTTTTTACACAATTTTGTATTAGACACTTAGCTCTTTCCAACGAGAAAAGATCAAGTCTCTATAACGATTCGTTGCCACGCTATACTAACAAGAAAATTAATTCAGAACTTTTGCATCACCCGTTATTTAATTTAATATTTCAAGTGTTCAGGTGTTCTCGGTCATTCGCTGTATTGTTTGTTCTTCAATTAAAGCTGTAACAAACTCATGATTCTTATCCATTTTGTCACATACTGATATTCGACGTAGTAACGTCGCGGTAGCGGCGCGGAAGCGGCGCGGAAGCGGCGCGGAAGCGGCGCGGAAGCGGTAGATTTTGTTCCTTTAGCATCGCGGCACGGCGCGGCAGCGGCAAGTTTTCCTTTTTACCGTCGCGATGCGTCGCGGCAGCGGTAAGATCTGAAGTTTCTAAACTCATCCCGGTGCGGCAGCGGCAAATTTCCAGCCGCGATGGACATCTCTGGTTGAAATATGAAAGAAAGATTTGTGTCATGTATTTTTGAAAAACAGAATAAAAGCGAAATTGTACGTCTACCGTTCACATCAACTACACTTGTCTTAGTTTTCGATAATTAGATTATTTTAGCAGTTTCCCAGGATGGTGGCATGCACAAGTGGAACATAAAACAAATGACAGAAGAACAAATAAATGAGTGATACGACGGTGATTGCAGTTTAATTATCTTGTTCAAGACGCCATCTACGCCAAATGAACTCTAGTTTTTCAATGATAAGATAGCCTGTGTGATGTTCATAGTTTGCATGTCTGAAGCTACTGATTTGAATTTATTTATTTTAGCTATGAGTAGTTTAACTATATTTTCAGCTACAAGTTCAACTGGAATATATGTATCTGTAGACCTGGAAAATTGACTTTCATAAAGTAATCTAGCGTAATCGTACATTTCATTTGTTGAAGAAATGACATCGTCGTTCGACAAAAGAAAAACGTTTATTGGTGGAGTAGTTACGGAAAAATGTTTTCATGTTTTTTCCCAAAATTGCTTTACGTGTCCTCCGTTTACTATACCTCGATATTTACGTCAAGGTGATCTTTTGTATACAAAAATTTCTTTTTGAATCATTGTTGATTACGCTATTAACTGTGTGACGAAAAAGAAATCTTCTGTTTTTCTCACCAGTCCCAATATCTTTTTCTTTTGTTGTATTAAATTAACTGTATGAGAAGGAAGTGATGATTTTGTAGGCGTCAAAATAAGATACATACGTCACTCTTGATACTAACAATGAGGGAAATGGTTCATTAGTGCTAAAAGACAAAATAATGTCGTAGATTTTGGACAACAGATTGTTTCAAAAGGAAAAAGTAAACACAAAGGATTGTTCAATTAATAGTCAATATGTCCGTTTGACTGGGTAATGACAATCACTTTTCGATAATCTAATGGTTGAATCGTCCATATGACAGGAAAATGATCGCTACCAATAGAAGGTAGAACGAAAAAAGAAGAAGAGAATGCTAACATGTGTATAAGAGCTAGAATAGCATCTATCATCGCATTTGAACGAGCAAACATCGCTAAAAACTTGTTAACAATCTCATATGAATTTGTTGAAAGCCAATCGAAAAGAACTCATTCCTTATGGTTTTCAATAGTATCAGACCATAGTTGATGTTCAGCATTAAAATCACTCAGTGATACTGTGTTGGTATTTCGTTTCAGGATTTCATCAAACAGACATATAGGTAAATTTTCCTTCAGGAGAAGAATAGCTTGTAGTTGATTGAAATCTATCAGAAGATATACCAATGTCGAATACAATGACATTTAGTAGATTTTGGAATGCATCTCATCCTCACGAACAGGTATAGAACGAGGAACAGCTATTAAAACAGCATCAAACATGTTTGCATCTTTTCCGTAATAAACATTATAGTTGCTAACATGTTTAGAAAATAATTTAACAACTTCATCACTATGATGTGTACCACTAAGAATCGTAATAGAGTAGGATGTACGTTCTAATAACAGAAAGATATCGGCTAACTACAGTTTCAAACTGCTGATGTTTAATAGCATTATCTTCATTTCACTTTTGACGTTTACCACATTAATAGTTCTTCTATTTCTCTCTTCGCATGTGTTCAATAGACTATTAAAGGTTAGTGTGGGTGATCATTCGAAGATTAGTTGTTGGAAGATTTTAGCTTGTTTTGATGATAATTATTCAATAGATAATTGAAATGATTCTATATGATTTTTGAAAAAATTCTTTAGCATTCAGACTTATTATTCATATTGATATTTAAATCATTCGATAAAACTGTTGTTTTCGATTTCACCTCTTATAAATATGATTTATTCGCGAAAGATATATTTAACAATGAGTAGTTTGAATCTTTTTGATTATGATAATTGATGAATTAATTGTATAATTTTTTCTGAAAAACGTCTAGTTAAAAATAAAATTTCAAGTTTTCGGTGACCGGACAATTCGTTGCAGGACAATTTGTTGCAGGACAATTCGTTGCATGGACAATTCGTTGCAGGACAATTCGTTGCAAGACAATTCGTTGCAATGACACAAGTCAATCAAAATTAGAATGTATTTTTCAAAAATGGAACAACTTATTCAATTAAGTTTGAAACATGTAATTCAATGACCATAAAAATTATTAGAAATATTACTAATGACTAGACTTCGATTTTTGATTTCAGGATGTCCACTATAAAGAATCCTAGTAAGACAAAAATCAGATTCGTTTCCTACTCCATAATTAATGTCAATAAGATGTAAAAAACCTTCGATTACGAGGTATCATCAAAACTATTCCCGGTATTGCATAACTCAACGATTCAATCAGACTAGTTTCGTTTTACATATATAAAATAAGACGTGATGCTCCCTAAAATAGCAGAATTTGTGCGTCCAACGTGAAGATTTAAAAATAGAAATTCATTAAGAGCTTTTTTTGTAATGACGCCGATGCTGCTCTGCTTCAGTGAACGCTAAATTTTGTTAGTCTTTTCAAGGTATTTTCTCATTGTCCACAGCCTTGAGCTGCAGCATAAATTTAAAAAAATGTGCATTACTACTTCCACTGGTATCGGAAAACTTTCATTACTTGTATAGCTCGAACAAACTAAACTTTTATCAGCACAAAAAGGCTATTGTACTGTTCGAGATCAAAAATTCAAATTTAGTCATTAGTAATATTGTTAATAATTTTTATGGTCATTGAATTACATGTTTCAAACTTAATTGAAAAAGTTGTTTCATTGTTGAAAAATAGATACTATTTTTGATTGGCTTATGTCATTGCAACGAATCGTGCATGCGACGAATTGTCCGCAACGAATTGTCCGCGACGAATTGTCATGCAACGAATTGTCCTAGTACCCAAGTTTTCATAAGAAAAATAGAAATTTTTATTTTTTCGTGAGAAAAGAACAAGGGATGTTTTAGAGACATTTCGAGCCCATTAGAAAGTAAAGACAAATTAATGTGAAACTTTCAGCCAACGTGTGGTGTGGGTGTGGGTGGGGTGTGGGGTGGGGTGTGGGTGGACGTGGGTGGGTGTGGGTGTTGTTACAGGGTGTCTCATAAGTTTTGAGGCGCCACAAAATCACTATCTTTCCGCATTGGAATCACTGTCTGAACTATATGGTTTTATATCAGGTTGAAGTACGCGTCACGAGCTTTCGAATAATATACTTTCGATTAGCATTCTCTTTTGTATTAGTAAGAATATCAGTATGAGAATTTAATGATAAGTTTTTCGAAATCGATCAATATCATATTTTATTGAAAAAAAAACAGAATTAGTCTAGTTTATGAAAACATATGATAATCTGAACATACAATAATATTATCTAGCGAGTTCATATCTGCTTTCCATTATTTTTTATCACATTACCAAGTTTTCTTGAATATCATGAATCATTTTTTTACAGTTGACACGGGTAATTTTCTTCCATTCTTATTCACTCTAGCTTTCAATTGTTCAAAACTCGAAAATTGTTCTCCTCGTACTTTTTCTTTTATTATCCCCCACACTTTTTTGATAGGCCATACATCCGCAAATTTTGCATCACCTTCTTCAGGTAAAATTCGGTCAATAAATAATTTATCAATAGTTTCTAATACATGTTTTGTCCTATGTTTGGTATCAGGATCATCTGGGAATAAAGGTTCTGTTGAACTTAACTTTCGAATGTGCTTGTAGCCAACTTCTTTAATAAACTTTGCATACAGTCGACCATTCATATAAGTTTTTTGTTGTCGATTTTCCTTCACTTGAGCTTTTAACCAAGATGTAACATCAATTGGACCATTTTTTGGAATCAATCCGTCATATGAGATACCACCCCAAAAAACAACACCAATTGCGAACTTATTTCGAGGACGATTGCGAATTGTTAGTGGTATTTCTGCAGCATTTCTTGCCCAACCACCTGCATTATGTGGATTCGATAGTGATTCTAAAGTGAATTTCCCAGAAAAATCGGTATTAATGACCTCATGCCATCGCCATTTTTTCGATCTTTTCGAAACACCAAACTTTTTTCGTAAAACTTTGGCACATTGAACACGTTGTATTTTGTTATCATATGTTAATTTTTGTGTTTTCTTTTTTTTAAACGATTTCAATCCGCTTGATATTGCTACCCTATGAACTGACGACCGTGATGTCTTCCAGCCTTGTTGTTTTAATTTTGCTGATACATTTCTAACACTAGCATTGTTTTTCACTTGAATTTCTTTGACAACTATGTTTTCAGAAGCTGTAGTTGTGGTAGTTCGTGGTCTACCCGATCTTCTCCTATCGTGAATTGATCCCCGTTTTAGTAAATAATTAATTTTGTTCATTAAACTGTGTCGGTTTAAATTTGGTGGATTTTCTGAGTGTTCGAAGAAGTCAGCAACATTAGATACAGACCAACTGGAATTTTGACGATGTAATAATTAGTAGCGTAACCAGAGGGGGGCAAGGGGGGGCTGAGCCCCCCCCACGAAAGGTTTTTCCCCCCCCCCCCCCCCCCTAGAAAAATCTCTATCCCCTTTTATTAAAGAAAATTGCGTTTGATTTCTGTAATAATAGAAATCAACATACAGCTTATTCATAACAGCAGGCATCATCAACAATAAGAAGTCCAGAACTCGAAGGAAAATCCCTTAGAAAATGAATTTCTAATGCACATTTTTCTTGCATTTTTAAGAAGTTTTCGCTTCGCGACTTAGGTCTGTCCCATTAGTTTTCATTTTGATCAGTCTTCTCTCCATTTCGAATTAGCATTTGAAATATGATTCGTTTATCTGTATGACTTAGGCAATGGGAAGCTTTGTATACGCCTCGCGTTTATCTTCCACTTTTAACACAGCGATTGAAAGCGTAGAGGACTTTAGTGGCTGAACATATATGAGTGCTATAATTTCGTTCTTGTCACTCCAGAAGCGTGAGTTTTTATTTCATTGAACTATAAAATATTTTTGTCAAACCGTTTTTATTCCGTTCCAAAAAGGTGCCGCCTTCGGCGGCATGCTCTCCTTAAATAAATAATAAATCAATGCTTTTTATACCGCTATTATCTCATCAGAAATTTTAGAGTCTAAGAAGAAACAAAATTTCTCACTGCGTGGTATTGTCCAAACAATAGTATAGAAAAGAACGGTGAGGAACAGTTTATATGGTATAAAACATTTTACTCTTATATTTTGACGCCAGATATGTCTCTTGGAGGTAGGGATGCACTAAACAGTAAGTAACGGGTAGGAGCAAAAGAAATTCTCGATATTTTCGATAAATTGTTTCGAAAAAGGGTGTTTGTAACAGGTAAATATGCGTTTTGTAGCACGTTCAATAGGATCTCGTATGTGCTATTCAATTTTTATACACGTCATACGAACTAAAAAAACTAGACAAAGAATTATGTTGTTTCGTTGTCTACAGTTGGGGAGGGGGGCTGAGCCCCCCCTACGGATTTTTCCTGGTTACGCCCCTAGTAATAATAATGATACAAATGTTCGAAAAGATAATTTTTCTTGTCGACGAGCTGATGTAGGAGTCATAACAACGAGAATAGATCAAAAATATCGAAATGAGTATTAAAAGCGGAAAAAACTCGGAACAAACTGAAATAAAATTAAAAATAAAACAAACTAATAGAATGCAACAGTTCCTTTTCCATGGTTTATTTGTATGTTATCGAAAACGACTTTTGAAATGATCAGTCAAGTTGTTAATGATCGTTGTGAACGAGAAACAAGGCGAAAGGCATCGGTAAAACGAACATTTTTTCGTTCTTTGCACCACATATTATTCTTCGTTATGCACGTGTCAAGTTCATATCTTTTATTTAACTCAACACGTTCATAGAGTGTAAAGCTTGACTTCATATGTAACTGGTGATTCATAATAAGCGTGAAATGAAAGAATAAGAGAACTAGCTATGGTATATGCTATGTTGTTTTTTTTGTAACATATGTACAGTAATTCATCGAAAAATTTTTAGAATAAAATCATATTGATCGATTTCGAAAAACTTATCATTAAATTCTCATACTGATATTTTTACTAATACAGTATATCATTCGAAAGCTCGTGACGCGTACTTCAAACTGATATAAAATCATATAGTTCAGACAGTGATTCCAATGCGCAAAGATAGTGATTTTGTGGCGTCTCAAAACTTATGAGACACCCTATATGCGTGTGATTGGGCGTGCAGATGTAGTTCTGATGTTGTTTGTGGATGTCAGCAAAGATAAGACTCAGAAGTGCACCAACTAAAAGCTCACATCTACACCAAGAACGACGCCTATATCCATACCCAACAATCACATCCACACCGGCATGTACATCCCAAAAGCATGTCCACACACAGAAAGAGTATCGTTGAAAACTAGGATGTGTGGGTGTTGATTTTCTGTTCAATCTCACTCTCAAGATTTCTACCCAAAGTTTAAAAATATACATTCACAGCTATTCGTATTGCTTCTTTATGATCGTAATCATCTTGAAAAATAGGATTTCGCCAATCACTTAATTCTGAAGCTGTTTTTTCTGCTAAAATAGTTTGAACGAACTTTGCATATGTCACCTGTCATGTACACTTTCTTACAACGATCACAACCTTTTGATCTGATAAGTTCTTACCACTTGTCCATAAAACTGCTGTTTTGTTGAACATTTATCAATTTAAGTAAATTGAAAATTGAAAAAATACTTCGTGATAGTATTGTTACAGTTTCTCATCCATTGAGATAGTCATAGACCTGAAACATTCTGTATTCAGTATGAAGTAGGTATTCAAACCTGCCAACATTTCAAACACTTTGCTTTTGTTGAATACGAGAAAGATTTACCTTAAAATTGCTTCAGAATTTCGTTGACTTCCTTACATCAATTTATTATGAACTACTTTAATAAATTCTTTTACTGAAAAATAAAAAAATTATTAATAAAAAAAAAAACTATTGATTTGACTTAGATAATCTTTTTCCTTGTCTTTATTATAAAGTAGTAACTCGCAAATCAAGAAAAGGAAATCAAAATTCTTCTTTAAATCATTATCATATGGTTTCTTTTTTATAAATCCAAT